TACTTTTGTATAAGCTTGTACTAAAGCTAAAATTGAAAAAAAAAATTGTAAAACTCTTAAAAAAATATTTATTTGTATTATTGATAAAATTAAAAAACTATAGAATGCCTGACTTAATATTTACTTCTACTACTGATAATATATTAGAAAAAGTTTTTAAATGTCTGACTTGACATTGACTTGCACTACTGATTTTCATATTTAGTTAATATATATGACTAAATATTGACTTCTACTAATGATTTTTAAAATTATTTATTTTGTCCGACTAAATATTGGTTTGTACTACTGATTTTCATATTTAGTTAATATATCTGATTAAATATTGACTTGTACTACTGATAGCATAACAAATCTTTCAAAAGTCTGACTAAATACTGATTTGTACTACTGATTTTATTAATTTTTTTAGTTATTATGTCTGACTGAATATTGACCTGCACTACTGATTTTTAAAATTCTTTATTATGTCCTACTAAAAATTGATTTGTACTACTGATTTTCAAATTTAATCATTAAATTATTACAAAAAAATTTTAAATATACTAAGGTTAAATTCTTAAATATTCTATTTTTCATATAAACTAATCTAATTTGACATAACCTTAAATTATAATATAAAACCTATTCTCATCTTGCTGACGTATGTAGAATAATAAATTATATTACATTTCATAAATAAATATGTTTTTTGAAATATATATATATATATACATTATTAAGAATGGAAAGTGGGTCAATACTCGATATTTCCGGACTAGTTTTTTTATAAATACAATTTTTATTCTTCACCGCAGTCGCAAATGCAAAGTGGACTCTCTCAATATTCATGAAACTAAAATCCGCATATATAAGATTTTCTTGTAAACTATATATATGTATTGAGAAGAAATGTGGATATAAAAAAAAACCCTACGGCTTATTTCTTCTGACACTAGATTTGTTTGATGAGATCCAATACATATAAAATAAAATTCTCTCAATTTTTCCTCGAAACATTATCTTAATAAAATATTTATATTACATATGAATAAGTTTTTTTTTTTTTTGGTCTATTCTTGTTTAATATAAATATAATCACAAAATATTTTATGGAATAATAAAATATCTCAATATTGTCAATTGTTTAGAGAATAAAATTATTATTTCGAGAGAAAAGAAAAATAAAATTGGTAAAAAGATAGGAATTTTCTTTTTTGGTTTTAAAAAACTTTTTTTCAATAAAAATCCATTTTTGTAAAAATTGAAAATGAGGGGCAAAAAAAGAAAAAACGTTCCATGGTAAGATGGATATATATGCGAATGTCCTAATGCCTGAATGGGGATGAATTTTCACGTAAGAGATGTTGCTGCCACTATATATTATATGGAGGGGATGGTGGCCTGGTTTCATTGAACCTGCACCATTTCCACCCTCTCACCGACGCACCAGAAGGGGATGAAGCAGGCTATGCATAGCCCCGTCGTTCTATATATAGGTCCTCGTTTCTATAAATAGAATCCAACTACCCCCACTCAAAGGAACGACTATACACGTTGACGGCGCGCGAGTTCGCCGCACCGGGGCGCTTGCACCCTCCCCACCAAACTTTGCACAAACTGAAACTGCAATGTCTCTGCTTACCCATCCAAACCTTCTCTCTTAAACTTTCGCAGATATAAATATATATATATATATATATATATATATACACAATTCTATCTTAATTCCCTCGTTTCTATCTTCAACGATTCTCTAACTGACGACTTATTTCTCTTTCTTCTTTTATTATTATTATTATATATCCATTCATGTGTCATTCATTTTTAGTTTTTGAAATAATTTTCTTTAATAAAATTAATTTATTATTTTTCTATATTTTTCTTTTAATAATGGTAAATTTTAATATATTTTTTTATTCTTTGTTTAAATCAAATTCAAATTTTTGAAATTAAACGGGTGCTGAATATTTTTTTCTAAACAAATTAAATTGTTTATCATTTGGAATATGTCTGGAAACATATGTAGAGGCCCCCTTTAAAAAATATGGACGTTTTCTACCCCCCTAGATTTTTTTTAATCAAGTTTCGTTGGAAAAAATTCAAATTTTTGAAAACGTGTGTACTGAATGTATTTTAAATTCTTTTATTAAAATATTTTTTAAACACTTTTTCTGTGTAAAAATTAATTTTTTTCCACATGTACACAATACATGTATGTTACATTTATTTTTGTAAATTTTTTTAAAATAATAAAAATTTTAAGAAATGCAGGTAAATAATAATATCAAAATATATTTTTAAACTCTTCTTTTAATCCGTAATGTGCATCGTACCCTACACATACATATATATATATATATAAAAGGGGTTTATTGTAAACTCGCAGGTTGTTTGTTTAATGCATATTTAAGCATTTCACCGCGGCTTATATGCGCGCACCACTACACACACTTTTAGTCTGATCGCTCAAAAGCTTTATACACGAAACTTAAGGGGTTTTGATGTGTTATAAACAAGGTTAACAATTTCCAATTAACCACCTTTCTGTGTTATATATATATATGTATAATTATTTCCAAAATTAAAATAGAAACATTAATTTTAAGAAATTAAATTTTTTTAATTAATTTTAAATTAAATATGTTTTCTTAACATTAAAAATTTAATCTAACCTTTTAACTAACCTCCTATAATCTTTTTATAACCTAACAAAATTTTAAATAAAAGGATAATTTTAATTTAGAAAATTTATTTTATAAAGTAATATTATTTTGATAAGGCAAATGGCCAATTTTCTAATAAGAAATTAAAGTACAAGTAGAGATAAAAAAAGAGGGAGATAGAGAGAGAGAGAGGGGGGGGGGTTACATATACGGAGTGTATATAGTCACTTGTTCCATCCTCTTTTCACCCTCTATTATATGACCGTGGAGAGGAAAATGCACCTATTTATAACCCATTAGCAGAGAGTGAAGTTTAATATAAGGCTCGCTGAACACCCCCCCTCCCTTTCTCTTACACACACAAGTTTAGTTTCTATTTATTGCTGGGTATTAATCAATACGTTAAATGCCAGTATATCCAACATTGCAATGGTCACCTCCGCAGAATATAGTTGATCTTAATCAAGTAACTGTGAAATGTTACTATACTTTTTTTTTGCTTGCTGAGAATATAACAGCTTCAGAGTGATAATTATCACGTCGAGCCATTAAATTCTTACTTAGAGCGACATAAAAGTCATTTCTTAATATAGACATATAAAAGCAATATATATATATATATATATATATATATATATATATATATACAGCAGGGGTGAAAGGTCACTATTTTCTATTATATTTAAAAAGAATTCAGGGGAAAAAAGTATAAAACTTAATAATATTTACTTGTCATGATGATAAAATTAAAAAAAAAAATTAAAGCCTGACTTAATATTGACTAGTACTACCGATAGAATAACAAAACTTTCAAAAGACTTATTATATATTTACTTGTACTACTGATTTTCAAATGTAGTAATTATGTCTGACTTAATGTTGACTTACACTACTGATTTTGAAATTTATTTATAATGTCTGACACTATATTGACTTGCACTACTGTTAGAATAACAAAACTTTCAAAAGTCTGACTTAATGTTGACTTACACTACTGATTTTGAAATTTATTTATAATGACTGACACGATATTGACTTGTACTACTGTTAGAATAACAAAACTTTCAAAAGTCTGACTTAATGTTGACTTACACTACTGATTTTGAAATTTATTTATAATGTCTGATACAATATTGACTTGTACTACTTGATAAAATAACAAAACTTTCTACTAGTAATTTCAAAATTTGTTATTATGTCTTACTGAATATTGATTTGTACCACTGATTTCCAAATATAAATTTGTCAGTAGTACAAGTAAATATTTAGTCAGACTTTTTAATTTTTTGTAATTTTATTCACTAGGTACTAGTTAAAATCAAATTTAGTCAGATGTAATGACTAAATTTGAAAATCAGTAGTTTAAGTAAATATTTAGTCAGACCTTTAAAAAAAATTTAAATCTTTAGTAGTACAAGTAAATATTTAATCAGACTATTTCAATTTTTTAATTTTATCAGTAGTGTAAGTAAATGATTAGTCAGTGTACTTTTATTAATTTTTTTTAAACCAGTTGAATAAATAAATGTTAAATCAAACTTTTTTTGTAATTTTTTGATCACTTTATCAAAAAATTTTAACAAATCTAATTACAAAGTTTTTAAAAAAAATTGTTTATGTAATATCGTTAAAAAAAAGAAATTGTAGAAAGCTACAAAAGAAATAGTGCAGAAAGACATTAAATACTTATACGACTTGAAGGTCATAATGTCGCCAATTCGTTTAGATCTTTTTATGACTGCAATTCACTTCGCAAAAGGTGTGGAAAACTTCTTTCATTCAATTTGACGGAACAGATGGAAAAGGAGTGAGATTCAATTCTGATCTTAAAATGCATTGCAGTAAGATCATTTCAATTGATATTGCCGGTCAGTTGGCCCTTTGAAAATCTCAGTTTTTACCGAAACCTTTTTTTTTCTTCAAATAAAATAAGTATGAAAGGCTTTCATTATCGATTTTCTTTTGTGCATTACATTTCATAGAAAGAAATTTAATTTTTATTTTGAAAATAATTTTTCTTTTTCAATTTGTATGAATAATAAATAATAAATAATAGATAATAAATAATAAATAATAAATAATAAATAATAAATAATAAATAATAAATAATAAATAATAAATAATAAATAATAAATAATAAATAATAAATAATAAATAATAAATAATAAATAATAAATAATAGATAATAAATAATAAATAATAAATAATAAATAATAAATAATAAATAATAAATAATAAATAATGAAATAATAAAAAAGAAAATTTATTTCGTTATTATATTTTACGCACCAAGGAGATATTTTCCATATAGTTTTGCGCGACTGTAACAAATAGGATTTCGATTTCAATTTTCAAGGAATGTCGTTATCGGGTGAGATCATCTTTCGAGTCAAGAATAGTAGAAAAATGGTGTGGTAGTAAAAAAAAAGGGGGAAGAAAAAAGTGTGAGCTTATCCACTTGATGCGATCTTGTGAAATAAGAAACAATTTACAGTCGCAAATTATTTATCTTCATTTACAAATATTTAATTATTTTACTATAACATTTCTAAACTTTTGATTAATTTTGTAAAAAAAAAAATCTCATTTTTGAAAATTAAAAAAAACAAACATTCTTTACGAGATATATTGAAACATAACCATATTGTGACAAATAAAAAATTGTATACAACAAAATGTCAAAATTAAGAGGTTAATAGAATAAAATACAAAAAAAAAAAAGGTTTTTACTTTCAAAAAGTAAAGAAAAGGAAATGGTTTTTAATCCTCTTATTAAAGTTGGCAAAACTGCCGCGGGACTTCCACTTTTATCTCTATTAATACAAGTTTGTAAACGATTAACAATACCAGTATCACGACAAATTATAAAATATGGCAAATCACATCCATTTTTTCGAAAAAATTTTTTAATTATGCCCGGCCGTTATTATCATCAATTGGAAATAAGATCAAAATCACTTTTTGAACAAAATGAAATTATTAAAAAACAAGAGGAAAAATTTCCACTATTGGATGATTTAGCTGCAGAAGCAATTGGAACACAAATAATGATTGAGGTAAAAAAGTAAATAAAATATTTTTCTCCAATTTCAAAAAAACAAAACTAATCAAACTGAAAAGGATCTATTTTAGAAAATATAAAAAAACATTTATAAAATTTAAAAAAAAAAAAAAAACAGTAATTAAATTTTTACAATTCTCAGTGTGCAGCTTTGTTAATTTTTGTATGGCTCTCAATGTCTGAATCAAAAGCAAAATCATTGTCATCTGAGAATAAAAGGCTCAACGATCTTGATGATATGAAAAATTGGAAAAATGAATTGGAACGAAAAGTTGAGGAACAGAGAAACACCATTCAGGATATACTCATGAAAGTTGAAAACATATTGTCATAAACTTTTTAACTTTTCTCCGGAAATCTTTATCCAACGGTTCATTTCCGCTTTTGGAAATTCTCATATATTCCTAGCAATAGTAATAATAATAAAAATAATAATAATAATAATAGTAATAATAATAATAATCATCAATAATTCTCGAATTTTCCAAGTATCGACTGTATCATAAAATTCATTCATGTACAAGCCATCATAGACGTTCATTACATTCTGTTGTTTAAAATGAAAGTCAATATAGTGGAGCAATTTTGAGAAGAAATGGAAATTTTTTTTTGTGTAAATAAAAAATTATTTTCATTGACCACAACATTTTTGCGTCAGTAGTATTAGTAAATATTAAATCAGAGTAATTCAATTATTAACTAAATTAGTACGAATTAATAATAATTATAGTACTAATTATAGTACTAATTAAATTAGTAATTTTCTACTATCAGCCATTTTTTGACTAAAAATTAATCAAATTGGAAACTAATTAATTTTGGTGCATTTGAATTAGTCAAAAGTGACTATTTGAAACGTAGAAACTGAACAAATAATTTCTATAAAATTAGCACTTTTTTTTCCATAAGTTTAAGTTTGAAATATAAATTGAAATAAATTAACAACGTTGAACTCATAGGGGGAAAAACGGCTTACAAAAAAAAATACATAAGTATGAGAGAGAATATATTATTGGAATATCCATTGAGTCGAAGCAGCCAAATATAGAGAAGGAAAATTAGCATGAGTTTGCATAGTGATACACTTTTATTTTATCTAATATTATATATATACGCTATGCATTGGAATCTGAAGCAGCAATATCCTCTAAATTATTTTATGCGCCTTTGAGAATAAAAGAATTCAGAATTATATATTTTTGCCGAGAGAGAGAGAGAGAGGATATCAAACTGGTTTTTCTATAAAAGACGATGATTTCCTTTAAAAACTGCGGGGATGGAACAATTGAAAAGATATATGAAATTTTGTTTGTACACTTGCCAAAAGTGTATTTTTTTGGTATTTTTCAGAAAAGCAAAAAAGAAATTTATCATAGTTTTAAAAAATAAATAAATTTATGTAATTTAATAATTCATTTTTTCTTTAAATTACAAAAAATGGAGAAAATATATGTGAGTCTGACTGAATATCGACTTTTACTACTGATTTTCAAAATTAGTTAGTATGTCTGACTCAATATAGGCTTGTACTACTGATTTTCGAATTTAGTAATTATGTCTGACTAAATATTTACTTAAATTACTAAAAAAATATACTATGTCTGACTGAATCTTGACTTATATTACTAATACAATTACAAAACTTTCAAAAGTCTGACTAAATACTGATTTGTACTACTGATTTTAATTTTTAGTTATTACGTCTGACTAACTAAGTATTGACCTGCACTACTGATTTTCAAATTTAGTTGTTTTCTGAGTTAATATTGACTTGTACCACTGATTTTCAAATTTAGTTGTTATGTCCGACTCAATATTGACTTGTACTACTGATTTTTTTTTAATTTGGTAAATTATATATTACTAAAAAATTCAATTTTACAAATAAAATAAAAAAATACAGAAATAAAAATAACACTTTTTGATTTATATTTTGTGTTATGTAAATATTAATACCAATTCGTCGGGATTCTTTTGTAACAAACATATTTCATTCGTTCTTTACTATATAGTATATACATATATATATATATATATTTATATAAATGTATAGACAAAGAATTCTGTGCACATCCGTCGCTGGGAAAAGCGGCTCTTTTTCGCACATAAAAGAAGTGGAAATTCACAGAGAAGCTTTTTTTTCACCTCCTAGATTGGAGAAATGTTGCAGCAAAGGAAAAGTATTTTCTTTCTTATTTTTTACCGATCGAGATGCGCGCGGTAACGGAAATAAAGACGTTCTGAGAGTTTTGTTTGTCGAAGAAAGGAGAATTTTCTAAAAGAAAAACAAAAAAAGAAAAAAAAAACACCATCGAAAAATTTATTTAAAAAAAAAATGTCGAGAATGAATGTGTAACATCAAATTTAATCTACTCAAGAAGAAAAAAAAAGAAAGTACAACTAAATTTGAAGCAAAGAATTTTATATTATATGAAAATTTGGATTAAAGTAGAAAGATTCTGTTTTAGTCAGACATAAAGTCAAAGCGAAGTAGAAAAATACTAATTTAGTCAAGACACAATTTTGTATGAAGTAGAAAAATAATTTTCTTTTTTTATTTCGACTAAAAATATTTTTTTTTATTATTTCGAAAATTGAGATTTATGTTTATGTAGCGCTTATTGAATTAATTCCAAATCTCTAAACATCACTGTCAAAATTTAGTACAAACTTCTTGAGCTTATCATATTCTCTTAGTTCACTACACAACAACATAAGTAAAGTCTTCGTTAGTTATACTCAAAACTATTCTACTATATATATATATATATATATAACTATTCTCGAAAATAATATTTTTCAATATTACAGTTTCTAATTTTTATATTTGAATGCAAAAATATTATTTTCGATATTAAATTAAATGTTTCCTGTTCTCAACTTTTAAAAATAACGCAGTCTTTTCTTTAATAATAAAATGTGTTTCCTTCAATTCCTGCCATTCGCGGTTGAACTTTAAAAATAAAAAAGAAAAAAAGTTGAGAGAAGTAAAACTTTCGAATCGAAGAAAAATAACTCCGGATAAAGCGTGGTCAAGAGCAATTAGATACATTTTCCCTTATTAAGTTATCAAAAAAAAAAAAAAAAAAAATACTTAATACAAATAAATATTTATTCAATACAAGTAAATAATTACTTAAAACAAATAAATAATTTTTCATTTCAAATAATTATTTATTTAATACAAATAATTTTGTATTAAAAAAAACTAGTTAAACCAATAATTTCTGTATTTAAAACTTAATTGACTTAAATAAATATTATTTGTTTCAAGGAAATATTTATTTGATACCAGTCAAGTAGTATTTGAATCAAAAAAATTTTTTAATAAATATAATTTACTAATAAGAAAAATGAATTTTAACAGAAAAATTGAAATTAATATAATTTTCAAAAAAATTCAAAAGAAAAAATATCGAATTTTACATTTTATTTCATTACTGATAACATTTGATATCAGGTTGAAACAGGCGTTGCTATTACTATCATTATAACTGTTATTACCGTATGCAATATCGAGAAGCATCTTCGATATCGACTGGCATTTCAAATTATTTATGTTCATGACTTCTAATATTCTACTGCACTTTATTTCATATTATATATATATATATATTTTTTTTTAAAACGTTTTTTTAAAAAAATTATCCACAATTTTCATTTGTATTTAGAGAGAATATTTTAGAATTATAATAATTTTAAAATTATTTGCGATAGAAATAACAAGAACTAGAGTAAGTAAACAGGGAAAAAAAGTCATTGGAGTATATTTCTTGATTTTATATGAAAAATCATATATGTGAGAAGAATATTTGTCCTTTTTATATATATATAAACATGTTTTACTTTTTTTTTTTTTTAGCAAATATAAGTTCTTGATTGCTCTATACGATTCGATATTGACCATATCCGGTTTCGCTGAGCACTTTTTTCTCTCCCCCCCCCCTTCCAACCCTTGAGTATGAGCTCCTTGAAGAAGCTCGATTTCCTGTGGGAAACTCACTTACAGTCACTCTAACCACCACTAGAGAAGTAATAGTCATGTTTCTTCGTTGAAACATAAAAGAGGTCATAAAAGAAGATTCCTCTCCCTTTGACCTCCTTGAATATATCTTTCTCTCTCTCTCTCTCTCCTTTTTTTATTATTTTTCTCATCGTTTTCTTTTTCCTTTTTATTTTTTCTAAATTACTCACTTTTTTCTTCATTAATTTCCACCTTTTTTTTTTTTCATCCCGCCCCTCTCATGATTCTCTTAAAATGGCAATTCCACCAAGAATATTATAAGATCGTATTTATTTCTTAATTAGTTAAATTTGTCAAAAAAAAATAAAAAAAAGCAACTTCCTTTTTTCATCTCGAAATTTTTCTCAATAAAGGTAAAAACTTTTAAGCTAAATTATTATTACATTATTTTTTACGGTAGTTTTCTCATTTGTGTCTCTTGGAGTAAATTAGATGTAAAAAGTAACAAAAAAAGTAAAATTTCATCATGACGAATATGTTTTTTTTTTCTGTTGTAGAAAAAAGTTTATATTAATAATAAAAATAACAAAGTTATGAATAATTTCAATCTTTTTTTTATAAAATTTGTATAATTTTTTTTTTTTAATTTGCAAATAAAAAAAATTACTTGCGACAAAAATTACAAAAATTTTTTCAATTGCAGTGTATATTTTTACTGTGCCATTTTTCTGATCTATTTTCAAGATGATATTGATGAAATTTTTATTAATGTAATTTTGTACTTTATTGACTTTTTACATAAGTAGCTGCATAATTGCTGTGTACGTCCTCCAATACATTTTTAGGAAGAAGTCAATAAATTTATTTTCAGTATCCTATTTCTTTTTTTCTTCTCTCCAAATGACACACTTCCGAATGATTTCATATATTTTTAAACAATCCCCAAAAAAGAAAAATCTATTTTTATCTTGAAAATTTCTCCTTTCTTTTGGGGGGAGGAAAAAAATGAAAAAACAAATACACTATAATAAATAAATCATTGTATTTATCATTTCTAGTGGAAAATTTGTATTAAAAATACGATACAATTCCCTACACATAGAAAGAGATCTATTCATTTCTCATCTTTTGTTGTCCAAGTTTTTATTAGTTTCTTGACCTGATTTTTTTTCTCATTTTTTTGAGTGTCATTTCCCTGATTCTCATTTTATTTCTATTCTGAGTTATAATGTCCCTCGAATATATATATTTATACACACACACATATATATATATATATATATATATATATATATATATAAATGGAAATGGTTAGAAAAAGAGACTGGTAAAAATGAATCGAAAAAATGTCAATAAAAAGAAAAGAAAAACGAGAGAAGAAGAAAAAAAAAAAGGTGAAGGAAACATAAAATGTGACGAAATGAAAAAAGATTGTCTCGCCGAGTACAAGAATTTGGCGACTCTGTACAGGAGAGTCAACGAAAGAGGGAACTGTAAACACAAACAAGATTCGCTCGCTTTGAGGTCAACTACAACTCTTCAGTCGTGAATTCAAGAAACATGAATACATTGCCTTACTTTTTTTTCACCTTTAAAAATCGTACACAAAACTTTTTAGTTTTTTTATATAAAAATTAGTGTGAATTAGATTTCTCCTTTTTTTTTGTTAAAATTATTATTATATACTTTTAAAAACGATTTTTAAATTAATATGAAGAAAACTATACATATATTTAAAAATATAAAATAGTTTTTTGTTTGAAGATAAAAATTTTTTTTTTCCATTTCTTTTTTTGGAGAAGATCAATCATAATCGATCTTAGAGAGAGAAAAATTTAATAACTTTCAAAAAAAAAGTGGGGTTAGAGAGCATTAGGAGTGTTTTTCTTATTTCTCGATTTTCACATTCGACCAAAAAAAAAAAAGGATTGGATAGTCAAGAATAGATGGCGAAATTCGTTGGTTGCGGATAAATTCACGAAACGTCGTGTGCAGACATCAAGCCTTATAAAAAAAAAATTATTTCAAAAAATCTGTTTCAATATAAAAATAATTTTTTAGTAAAAAATTTTCCATGGAAAATTTTTCAAAAATGTTTTTAAAAAAAAGGTTCCGTTAAAAAATAATTTTTTCTTTATATAAATTTGAATCGACCATTGCTAATGTATTTTCTCTCTCTCTGTCTCTTTCGATAACATATTGTTTGGTAGAAAATTATATAGCTTTTTGGACAGAAACCGTGCCAAGAACGACAATCGTGACAAGAGATGTACTGACATTTTCGTGGTTTACGGAAACGATG